CGAGGCCGCCGCCGCCTTGGCCGCCGAGGACGGCGACGAGGGCGAGGGCAGCGGCGGCGGGGCACGCATCCAGGAAAAGGACCTCGGCAAGGCGTTCGACTCGGACGACATGAACTTCCTCAATCCGACGTCGATGGGCCAGATGGAGGTCAAGCAGCCAAAGATGCTGACGGCGCAGCTCAAGGAGTACCAGCTCAAGGGCCTCAACTGGCTCGCCAACCTCTACGAGCAGGGCATCAACGGCATCCTGGCAGACGAAATGGGCCTTGGCAAGACGGTGCAGTCGATTTCGCTGATGGCGTACCTGGCCGAGGTGCACGACATCTGGGGGCCCTTTTTGGTCATCGCGCCGGCGTCGACGCTGCACAACTGGCAGCAGGAGATCAGCCGCTTCGTCCCCTCGCTCAAGGCGCTGCCGTACTGGGGCAACGTCAAGGACCGCGCCGTGCTGCGCAAGTTCTGGAACCGCAAGCAGATCTCGTACAACCGCGACGCGCCGTTCCACGTGCTGGTGACGAGCTACCAGCTGGTCGTGTCCGACGAAAAGTACTTTCAGCGGGTCAAGTGGCAGTACATGATCCTCGACGAGGCGCAGGCGATCAAGTCGTCGTCGAGCATCCGCTGGAAGACGCTGCTCGGCTTCAACTGCCGCAACCGGCTGCTGCTGACGGGCACGCCCGTCCAGAACTCGATGCAGGAGCTGTGGGCGCTCCTCCACTTCATCATGCCCAGCCTCTTCGACTCGCACGACGAGTTCAGCGAGTGGTTCTCCAAGGACATTGAGAGCCACGCCGAGAACAAGGGCACGCTCAACGAGCACCAGCTGCGCCGCCTCCACATGATCCTCAAGCCCTTTATGCTGCGCCGCATCAAGAAGAACGTCCAGAACGAGCTCGGCGACAAGATCGAGATCGACATCCTCTGCGACATGTCGGCGCGGCAGAAGATGCTCTACCGCGGCCTCCGCTCCCACATCTCGCTCGCCGAGCTCATGGACAAGGCGACGTCCAACGACGAGGCCGGCCTCAAGAGCCTCATGAACCTCGTGATGCAGTTCCGCAAGGTCTGCAACCACCCGGAGCTCTTTGAGCGCGCCGATGTCCAGGCGCCCTTTGCCTTTGCCCGCTTCGCCCAGTCCGGATCGCTGGCGCGCGAGGGCGACCTGCTCCACCTGCCAGACTCGACGGCCTCGCTGATCGAGTACCGCGTGCCCAAGCTCGTCGTCCGCGACGGCGGCCTGCTCGACGTGCCTGGTCCCGGATCGCGCAAGGGCTTCGACACGGGGTACCTGTCCAACCTGCTCAGCATCTGGCGCTCTCCCCATGTCCACAAGTCGCTCGAGCTGCCGCGCTCGGCCTTTGCCTTCTTGCCCCTGCTCGGACTCGACCCGGCCGACGCCGAGCGCGCCTTCCACGGCCCTGCGCTGGCCAACGCGCTCGCATCCGCCGACGAGGAGCGTCGTTGGTCCGAGCGGGCGTCGCTGGCGCACGACGACGACTTTGCCGTGTCTGCGCTCCGGCCGACGGCCAAGGTGCTGCGTCCCGTGCCGTCCAACTCGGGCCGCTCGCCCTCGATGCTGCTGCCCCTCGACCAGATCGTCACCGACTACCGCAGCCACGCGTACCTGGCCAAGGACTCGGCGAGGGCCACGCTGGCTTCCGCGGTGGCGCCGCCGATCCGCTTCTACAGCAACGACCGCCCCTTTGTCGAGTCGCAAGAGACCATGGGCAGGGACGCCAGGATGTCGGCCGCCCTCTTTGGCCTGTCGCCCGAGGGCCGCGAGTCCGAGGACCGCGTCGAGGCGCTGCAGCGCGAGCTTCCGGGCGTCCCGCCCGTCGGCCTGCTGGCCAACTCGTCGCTCGACCAGCTGCCGCACAACGGCATGTCGGTGCCCCAGATGAACAAGCTCATCGTCGACTCGAGCAAGCTGGCGCGCCTCGACTCGCTGCTGCGCGAGCTCAAGGCGGGCGGCCACCGCGTGCTCATCTACTTCCAGATGACGCGCATGATCGACCTGATGGAGGAGTACCTCATCTACCGCCAGTACAAGTACCTGCGCCTCGACGGAGCCTCCAAGATCTCGGACCGCCGCGACATGGTGACCGACTGGCAGACCAAGCCCGAGCTCTTCATCTTCCTCCTCTCGACGCGCGCCGGCGGCCTGGGCATCAACCTGACCGCGGCCGACACCGTCATCTTCTACGACCACGACTGGAACCCGTCCAACGACTCGCAGGCCATGGACCGCGCCCACCGTCTGGGCCAGACCAAACAGGTGACCGTGTACCGTCTGATCACCAAGGGCACCATCGACGAGCGTATCGTCCGGCTGGCGAGGAACAAGAAGGAGGTGCAGGACATTGTCGTCGGCACCAAGGCCTACAGCGAGACGGGCATGGCCAGGCCACAGGAGATTGTGTCGCTGCTGCTCGACGACGACGAGCTGGCCGAGTCGATGCTGCGCCGCAAGCAGGCCGAAGAGGCCCAGACGGCGCAGGACAAGGCCGACTCGGCGAGGGCCATGCACGCCAAGCGCCGTCTCAACAAGGACAAGGCCGCCGTCAACCAGTCGCCGGCCCCCGCCTCGGGACTCGAGTGGGCGCTCGAAGACGACGAAGACGACTTGTGAGTCGAGACGTGGCCTGGCGTGCAGAAGTAGGCGTGCCTGCGAGCACCGTCGCTGAACGTGTCCTCCGCCCCCCTTCTTCACCCCGTCCCCTCTGCGCTTGCCTGCCTATGTTGCACAGTTTCGGAGCTCGACCGCCCACGCGCGGCGACACCGAGACGGCCGAGACGACGCCGCAGCCGCAGCTGCCAAAGAAGCGCGGCGGCGGCAAAAAGGCGAGGATCAGCGAGATTTCTCAGAGGAGCACGCCGATGGAGCAGGACAGCGGCAGCGCCTCTCCGTCTGGATCGCGACGCAAGGCAAAGAGCCGTGAGTGCCGAACACGCCGAGACAAGCCAGGCCCAGGCCGAGGCTGCGAGATGTGTATCGGTCGCGTCAAGGCAGCCGCTGACCGATGAGCTTCTCTTTCGCTCACTGTTCTGGCGCCGAGGCCCAAACAGACCGCAAGAAGACGGTCGACGAGCTGGCGGGCGTCGAAGAGTGAAGACGAGGGAGGACCGGATCGCGCTCGGGCAGTACCCCGCGCCACGACAACTCTAGCATAGTCTCTCTGTGTACCAACAGGCTTCGCCATGCAGCTTTCGTAACCATGGCGGCGCCGCCGCCGCCACGCAGCCATCCACCCTACTGCCACCACCATCGTCATCGGCGTACTTGGCTCCTCGACGGCGCCGACGCTATCTAGCCTAGGCCTCCTCTGCTCGCCCTGGGCTTGATCGACGCTTCCGTCCGCGTCCGCTTCTCTACGGTGCCTGTACTCGTGCGAGGTCGTGGAATGCATTGCACCGGAAGCCAGTCGCATCCGTGCTCGGATGATGGTGTCGCACGTCGAGAGTGAAGCCGCGCGCACCCCCCTTTGACTTTGAGCGCTCTTACTCCAGCGGCCAAGGAAAGGCTCGAGATCCTAAAAGTCGGTGAAAAAAGGGCGAGGAAAAGGGCGCGCAAGTGGGGGGTGGGGGGGAGCGGGAATAAAGCTAAGGCGCGGACGGAAGCGGACAAGAGGGCCGAGACAGAAGGGGGTGGGAAGCTCAGGCAGGCTTCCTCCCGCTGGGCAGGCTCGGCCTGGCCTTGCCCTGCCTAGCCTCTTGCGCGCGCGCGATTGTGTGTCTCTGTTCCTGAATCCTGCTCCGTGGCAGCAGCTCAAGCCGGTTCCTCTGATCTGCCTCCTCTGCCCCTGCCCTGCGTGGCGTGCGATGTAGGCAGGTACGGGGGGTCGAAGCAGGGCGAAACAGAACGGCGAGGATCGACCCAGATTCGTCCCTCTCGGATTCACACTCTGGTGGGGCGCCTTCGAACTCGAGAGGGGGGAAAGATCGAGTCCTCGAGGCGATTGTACGCTCGCACGCACGCAGCAGGATCTCCCCGCAAGCGGCCAAAGGTCCAGCCAGAGCAGCCGGTACTCGATGGCCATAGCCGTTCGGCCCAGAGGAGCATGGTACGGTGCTGGTCCTCTACGGCATCGATCGGAGAGGTGACGTTCCCACAGCCAGAGAGCAAGACGCCTGGCTGCACGCTTTGTGCACACTTGTTGGCTTTGGCGCCTGCGGCCGGCTACTTCTAGCACCAAGGCACGCCTGTGGCTCACAGGTACAGGACCCAGCGGGGGAAGTACTGTATGTACGGAGATTCGAGCTCCGTCCTTCTGCCTGCCTCTCCTTCTGCCCGACCTCCCGGGCTTCTCGATAGCCAAGTGGAGTCGGGCCACACTTGCCTGTATGGGCTCGACCTTCTGTAAGGATCACGAAGAGGGGCCACGCCATCTCACCTCGAACGAGAGAGAAAGAGTGGACGGCATTTTGGTTCCGGTCGAGCGAGGCGGAAAGAAGGCGCGCTAGGGCTTACGAGGGACGGCTGTCGTGTTCCTGAGAATTGCCTCGTGGCTCCCACATGGGGAGAGGAGGCGGACCGCAGGCACCTTGCTCAGCCTCGTTCGCTGCTCATCTCTCAAGAAAGGGTCGCGACCTCCTCGTCTCCTCGTCTCACCTGCCGTGCGCGGCCTTGATTTCGTCGTAGAGTGGCAAGACAAGGCAAGCAGAGCAAGCGCCGGGCCTCGAGATGCGCGCAGTCTGTGCCGTGTACGATCTTGGCCGGCAGCATCGTCTCCCCGCTATCGAGCGCGGGAGCCGGGGCATCTACATACCACTTAGTGGCGTTGAAGGGACAGGCGCAGCAGGCCGAGGGATGACGTTCCCACTCCGTTCGTCATGGGCGGACGGGCGGGAACGGGCCAGACAGATGTCCGCGGTCCTACGTACCTCCATCCCCCCCGACCCCCCCCAACCACTTACCAAGGAAGGCCTCGGCGGTCGAGAGTCTGTCGCGGACATCGGACATTGTGCAGTCGGCGTCCGACGCGGTGTGAGTGGCGGCCAACAGACGCTCTGCCCTCCCTCCTTGCCTCATCCTTCCCCATCTGCGTCCATATCCGCGGGCACAGAGCTACCTATCCAGCGGCCCGACACGCGGGCGGTCCGTCTATCGTGCCCGCGCAGATCGATCCGGTCTCCGGTCTTTCCCGCCCGTCGGCGCAACCCGCAAATGCACCGGAGATAGGTAGGAGACGACGTGTTTGCAGTACAAACACGGTCCCGTCCTCTGTTCTCGGGTCGGGTTGTGGCACCATGACCCTCTCCCCACCTCTTGCAAGTCGATCGAGCATCGAGGCCGATCTACATGCTCGTCAGCTCGATGAGCCCTTTCGCCTCTTCGGACGCGGTTTGTTGACGGCCGAAAGCGCTGCAAGAGAGTACGTCGTCATGTCCCCTGCCTGCTCTCCTAGCAAAATCCCCTCGGAAGCAGCGCTGGCGCTCATGCTACATCTCGAGGCTACGGTGACCTGCTGGAAGCGTCGCCTCGGTCCATCCTCGGCGTAGGGCGGCGCATATCATCTCCCAAGAGACGGACCCGCCTGCTGCGAACCCACCAACGAGGCTGGTTGCCAGGACGACTGAGCTTGAACACGGACAGCCAGCCTGCAGCGGGACCGGCGGAGCCAGGGATTGTCAGAGGACGGAGGAGCAGGCGACCCGTATCTCCGCGAGTGCCAGCGCGTCCATCGTAGACGCTCGATCTCGACGTCGATCCCGTGCCTGCTTGCGGTCCCCGAGGTCGTGCCACCGCCGCGGATGTGCGCCACCTGTAGACCGTACTCTACCGCCAACCTTACGTCGTCGAGCGACCAAGGCATGGCCTTGGTGACACATGCATGGTTCGAAAGCGTGTTTTGCTTGCCAGAACGAGGCGAGGCGACCCATAGTCTACGGTACCTAGCGTAGGTCGGCAGGTGGCGTGAGGAGGGGGCGTGACCCTCGCCTGGATGGGTTTTCGAGGTCAGACACTTCAACGAGCTTCGATCGGCTACAGAGGGCTAGACATGCCTGCCATGCCAGCGCATGTACCGCAGTCGCTGTCTCCGCTCGACTCTCCCCATGCCTTGTCGAGCCAAGTCTGATCAAACGTTCCTCGCCACCCTGCTCCATCTGCCAACAACCAAGTCCGACGTAGCCGACGGACCCTCTGGACCCTGGTCGAGCGGGGTCCGCAACGGGCCAGCTGGTAGGAGCGCCCGACGGCCAGTACTCTTACTACTCTGTTTGCCGCCGTGGCCGCCATCTTGACGACACCGTATGACCTTCATCTGAAGAGGCAGCCGGGCCAAGATCGAGTGCAGTGCACGGCGACGAGGAAAGGAGAGGCCTAGGGAGGCAAGTAGAGAGCTTGAATTGGCTGCTCGCGATGCCTCTGTCGTCATCATCGAGCCTCTAACCGCACGAGGGGCCACAAGCAAGACACATTGACTCCGCCCACGACATGTGATGGCCCTATCCGCTGCGTGATCCTCGCCCCGCCCTGCCCCGCCTGCCTCGCCTCGCCACACTGTCGCCAGGCCTCGCCAGGCCATGGCTGGCCACTCTATGAACAGGACCGGATACTCGGTCGAGACCCTCTGACTGGATCGAGATCGACTGCTGCAAGCTCATCGCCGGGCCTGCAATCAATCACGGGCACGCCGAGCACGAGGCCAGGCCGCCGTTCTCCGTCGTGCAACTAGAGGTCACGACGGGGTGACGCTGGTCCGCCCTACATACCTTTGCTCCACGGAGGCCGGCCGACCATCATCGATCGTCGATCCAGCGCTGGCCGGTCGGGCCGCTCTCGTGGGTCCTCCTCCTCTGAGGAAACTTTGAATGCCTCTCGACAAAGGGGAAAACCTGCGCAGGGCTTTCGACGAAGATGACGGGTCGAGTTGAGACTTGCCAGCGGCCGAGGGCGGTGCTGGTCCCCCCCTCTGCCCAGGGCGCGAAAAGGGACGGATAAACCCGTTCCGCTCGAGCCTTCTCCTTCCTTGCTTGACCCATCGAAGCCACGGCCAGCTTCCCGATCTGCGGCATGTTCCTCGGGGTTTCCCCGGCCAAGCAGAGCAGAGCAGAGCAGGCAGGCAGGGCAGGGCGGGCGAGCGAGCGAGCGAGCAAGCTGCTTGCATTTTTCCCAACCTTTCTGCGCCCTGCCCGCGCCCCCTTCTTTGCCACGAGGGCCACGCGAGCGAGCTACAGCTAGAGGGCCCAGCCAGCCGCTGCCCCTTCCCCAGACGTGTGGTCATGCGGAAGGGCTCAGAGCGACCTGGGTGCCAATTCGCGCGGACAATCGATGGGAAGCAGCAGACCATACCTCTGAGCAGCAATTTCAGCGCGCCCGTGTCTGCCTGCCTGCTTGACCTTGTTCTGTGCTTTGCTCTTACCTTGTCCGATGCAGAGGAGCAGCACTTCATGTACCTAGGTAGTCACAGAGAGGTACCGTACGTGCTTTGAGGGCTGTGGCTGCATTTTACAGAGTACGCTCCTCTCTTCTGCCTGGCCGTGCCCGAGACCGGCCCACGCTCTCGGAGGCCGAAACCGGCCAACGCCGAGGCCATCACCTTGTCCCTCTTGCCCGCGTCCTTCGAGCGTGGTGCCAGCGACCTGGTGCTTGCTCTTCGCACCGAGCCAAGTTGACCGGTCTATTGACGCCCATCAATTGGGCCGCTGCCGCTGCCGACGCCGCCGTCGCCTCAAAACTCCTTGCTTGCTTTGATTGCTTTCCAGCGCAACGGGCCGACGGCGGCGTGATGGTGGACGAGAAGCGTGCAAACGGACGGTGCTGCTCTACGACGCTTCCCGGTCGGCTCGGGCCGAGGAGACTCTCCAAGAGGCAGCCGGTGCTGTACAACTACGGTACCCACATGCGTACTGTTTTGGCCGCTTTCGTGGGCGGCCGCCGCCGCCGCAGGGCACCGGTAGCCACCAACCTTGGCCCACACCTACGATGCGTTCGCGTGCGGCCAACGGGCAGCAAACGCCGAGCGAGGACCATTATTGCCCGAGCCAAACAGAGGCGGGTGGGCAGTGTAGTCGGCTCATCCCTCGGGTGCTTGCCGTCGACTTTCCCAACGCTGTGCCTCTCCCGTGCAACCGACAGGTATCCCTTGCCCACCCTCGATCTCTCGAGACCATCCCTCGCGGTAACGGCGCCCGCCGTCGTCGTGGTCGTCGTCTGCATTGTCGCTACGGTGCCGCCTGCGTTGCGGCGTCCGTCGCGCTGCGGATCTTTGTACGACCGGCCTGCCGTGCCCAGGGTCGAGGTGGGGCAAAAGACCGGTACCTCGGGACATCGTCCCACCGCTCGCGCGGCTGAACGGTGAGCCGGGCGGTTCAGGCACCACCACCGGCCATGCGTGGCAGGCGGCCTTGCCAAAGGCGGGTAAGGTCCAGATGTGGCCCCCGAGGCTCGGCCCTGGGTCAACGATTTAAAATTGCGATTACTACTGCCTCTGCTTGCTTTTGTATTTCGGGCCGGGGCCGAGCCGAATTTCGAATTGAAGTCGAAGCTACGAGCTTCCAATACAGCTGTTAGTATGTTCGTGCAGGTTTGCATGGGGCGGGGAGGAGGTCTAGACCTTTCCTGCTTGCCTGCTCGCCTCTTTGCTCCCCTATGATCATCGAGCCGGCCGGGCTCTGCGTGCTGGCAGCCTGAGGAGAGAGGCCACGGTGCTGTCGAGGGCCCGACGTGTAAGAGCTGAAGCTGGGGAGCACGCGCCGGCTGGCTCCAGCGCGCCAGAGCGTGTCTGAGGTGGTGGCCCGCCGACCTGTCGGCCCGCCCGCCCGACTTGCTGGTTCGGGACCGGGAAGTCCCGATGCAGCGCGCTCTCGGTCGGCCAGGGCGGAACCAACCGCAGCCTGGCCAGCCCGCGTCGACTGCTTGGCAGCGCAGAATAAAATGAGGGGGATAGGCCAGGGCTTATGTAGGGGGCCTGGTCGAGAGCCAGGCAAAAACAGTCGCCTGGGCATGGTGTGGTGTGGAGAGTAGAGCCGGACCGGACCGGGCCCGACAACCGTTGCCTGTGGTCAAGTCCCGGTAGCGAGGGCGCTCCGCTGGCCCCCTCCTGTGGCTGATGGTGGTCTTGGGAGACGGCGATGGGCAAAGCGCAGGCTAGGGTGCCTCGACTGAGGCACAGATCCAGAGTAGCCAGAGAAATTGGTCTGCTGGCCCTTTTTTCTGGGTGCAGAAAGAAAACGTCTCTCGGACCGTCTGTGAGCCGAATCAAGGAACGATCTGGGCGCCTAGCCGGCCTAGCCTTAGCGTTCGACTCGTGGCCTGCTCGTGTATGTACCCTGCTCTTGCTGGCCTGCTGCTGGCTGGCTTGGCTGCCTGCCGCTTGCCCCATTGCGGTGCATGGCATGGCATGGCATGGCATGGCTTGCTGCTGCTTGCTTGCTTGCTTCTGCCATCCACCCAAGCCGTGCAGCGGGTCCCGCACCCTTCAGCCAACCAGCGTCCAGCGAGCCAGGGCGAGCAGCGAGCTGCTGCTCGGGTTCTCAGCTGAGACCCTGCGCCCTCGCCCCCGCCCTCTAGCCTTTTCCCCCTAGCCTTTGACCCGCTGCTGTGTCTGGGCCCAGCGCCTCGTCCTTCCCGGCCTGCCACCTCGGGGCCCTCCGAAGGGCGTCCGCGATGAGAAGCCGCCAGCCTCCCCGCCGCTCCTGCCCGCTTTGCTGCACTCCTGCGCATCAGACCCGTCTGAGAACGGCTGCTTGCCCTGGCCTGCCTGCCTGCCTGTTCCTGAAAGAGCCAGGCAGGCAGGCAGGCAGGCAGGCAGCAAGCAGCATGCATGGCCTAGGCAGGCGGAGCAGCTCGACCTGCCTCGACCTCGGCCGCTCGCTCGCCCCTCCCCCTCCTCGTCCTCGACCTCGAACTCGAACTCGAACTCGACCCTGCTGCCCGTTGCGAGGCTTGAGCTGCTCTACTGCCGCTTGCCGCTCGACAGGCCAGGCACAACGACGAGCCCAGATCCTCCCGTCGAAACCCTTCCCCCCCCCTCCCCCGCCTCGTCGTCCCAACAGCAGCCCCATCAGCATCATCATCACCGCCGCCGCCGCCGCCGCCCTGGTAGGTAGTTGCCGCCGCTGCCGCCGTCGCTGTCGCAGCGTTTGCCTCAATCTTCGCTTCGAACCAGCCACAAACAGCTCGGAGCAGCAGCATACACCCGCAGACCGGCACCCATCACCTTGCCCGGCTGCAGCCCCGTCGCCAGCGCGCCATACCCTCTCAAGGTACCTACCCAGCTTGCTGGCTCCACTTGCCCGAGTGTGGGCCGCCCCTCATCCACCTTCTCTCCCCGACCGCGACAGGCCGGCGTACCGTCGCTTCGAACTTTGCCCGAGCCTCCGGGGCCTCGATCCGCTGCCAGTCCTTGCTCCCTTGGCCGTCTTTCTCTCCGCCCCTCTCTTCCTCCCTTTCACTCCCGCTCTGCTGGTGCGTCCTCCTGACGATATCCGACAGCATCCTTTACGGGCCCACTCTATTCTCGTCCCTGCCCGCGCTCCCTCCTTCCCGTCCAGGCCTGCCTCGATGTCCCGGTAGCTAAACAAGCAACAACCTCGCCTCTCTCCAGCCCTCTTCTCCCCCTCTCCTTTCTCTCTACTCTCTCCTCTCTCTCCCCATCTCTTCCCTCTCACATCATCGCCATCACCGACGCCGACATCAGCCTCTGCCATTCTCCGCCCCCATCAGGCTCCGTCGCATTCTCCGCCCGCCACGAGGCGCCAAGGCTCAGAGAGAGATCCGCCGCGCTCGCGCCTGATATACAACAAGCAAGCTTCTTCCTCCGTCGCCTTCGCCCCGAATCCGGTACCATCTCCCCTCTCCCCTCCGCTTCATCATCTCCCCATCCGGTCGCGCAAAGCCATCCAGTCCACGCTCCACGACCACCAACACCATCTCCACCTCCTTCAACTTGAGTAACAGCAAGTCCGCCGCCAACTCTCCTTTCTTGCTGCGCCTGTCCAACTCTCAGCGCTCGTTTTCTGGCAGAAGAACTTCGGTCCGCTCGACAGCTCGCAGACCACCGCAAAAGCAACAACACACGGTCTCGTCTCACCTCACTCGACGTTCCTTTCTCCCACCTCTACCACGGGTTCGCGCCGCAAAACGAAAGCCTGCGTCTCACCACCTTTTGGCATCGCGTCGACCCCTTCGCTGATCCACACCCAACAACATCGTCTCGAGGGATTGTCTGAGGGTACGTCGACTGCTGCTCGCCCATCAATTGAGGGTGTCGCGGCTCACCGGCCCAAGACTCTCGAATGCGACGCGAAGCCAATACGTGGCAGCTAGACCGATCGATGTCGGCGCGGCGCGTCGCGCGGGTCCCGACATGAAGCCTGTGTGCTTGACCACGGTCGCTGACCTTGCCTCAATCCCTTTGCACTGTTGCTTTCCCATCGCCCCTGCAGAGGATTCTGGCCCATGTCTGGACGTCCATCCGCCGATCCCTACGCCTGGGGCCAGCAGCAAGCCCCACCACAGCCTCATCAGAACGGCTCGCTCTCCGGCGATCCTTCGATGATGCAGCAGACGCCGCTTGGCCAACCGATTCGACATCTTCAGACGCCAGCTTCGGGAGGCTATCGCGAGCTCCCGCTCCCTTCGCCCAACTCGTCCACCTACGCTGCCAGCTACATGCAGGCTAGGCCCTCCGCGTCACCGAATCCCAGCATGAACTACGGAATGCCTGGCCCCATGTCCGGCCACCACGTCGGCGACCCTGCAGCTGCCGCCGCCGCGGCGTCTTCGGCGTATGCGCCACAGGCGCAGATTGGCCAGTACGGCGGCGGCATGCCAACAGGATTCCCGCAGTACGGGTCTCCTGGTTTCTATGGCGCTGCGCAGCTGGCCCAGCATCCGGACGCCATGATGCAGCAACATCAGCATCAGCAGCCGCAGCAACCACAGCATCCCTACTACAGCTCGCAGCATCCCGGCAGTGCGACCATCGACCCTGGCGTGCAGACCCACCCGATGTACGGTGCGGGCCCCGCCCACCTCGACCCCGGCATCGCCGCTCATGCCGGCCACTTCGCTCACGGCGACGCAGGGCCGATGAGCGCCGGCCCCTATGACGGCCTCCACGGCGTCGGCGTTCGACCCAAGCGCAAGCAGGTGAAGAACGCCTGCGTCAACTGCCAGAAGGCGTGCAAGAAGTGCGACGAGGGCCGGCCGTGCGGCCGCTGCGTCAAGTACGGCTTGACCGACACGTGCCAGGACAGCTCGCGCAAGGAGCGCCGCCGCGGCGTCAAGCGTGGACCCTACAAGAGGCGCGCCACGACGGGGTCGCAACCGGCGCCAACCGCGGCCACGAGCATGGCCGGAGGCGTCGGCGTCTACGGTCGCGAGAGCCACATGGCCCCAGGCGGACGCAGCCTGGACGGCGTCAGCAGCGCACCCGACGAGACGCAGCTCTCGAGCCCGGGGTTTGGCGGACAGATGATCCCGCCTTCCAGGCCGCCGCTGTCGCTGGGCATGCAGGGCAGCGTGGCGGGTTCTTGGCAGAGCACTTCTTCGCCCAGCCTGCGGAGCGCCGATGACGACCGCGACGGCCGCTTCGGACGAGCCATGGGCGGCGGCGGCGGCGGCGGCGGCGGCGTGGGCATGCCTCCTGGCTCTGGCGGCTCCTACTACGGCTACGAAGGTCAGGAGGGCGGTCCATCCCCTTACGATCGAAGCTCCTCGGCGCCCATCCCTGGTCCCGGCTCGCTGGTCTTGTCGCCCATCGGATCGCTCAGCCGCCTGCAGGCGCCGTCCGGCTTCTCGCAGTCGTCGGGCCATCAGCAGCTGCCCAGCCTGCTGTCGGGCCCATCGTCATCGAGCAACCTCAACGGTCTCTACAATGCCAGCGCGAGCCGCCCGCTGATTTCGCCCTCGCTGCACACGGGACCGTCGGGTGGGTTTCTCTACCCTGGCTCCGGATCCACGCCTTCGGGACACAGCCGACTGCACAGCGACGGGAGTTTTGCCAGCAACCTCAACTCTGCCAGCACATCCGCCTCGACCATGAGCCCGCGCACCCCGATCAATGGATCCGGCGCCGAGTACCAGATGATGTCGCCTCCAGTCAATGGCAAGTTCAGCGCATCGTACGTGCCTCCGCAGCCCACGGTGCCGACAGGCGCGAGCACCTTCCTCAGCCAGGACCCGGCACGACCGTTCCCGCTCAAGATGCCAAAGGCGCTGCCGCGGAACCGGTCGGGCACGGCCAGCAGTTTTCTCGAGGCGCAGGTGTCGCGCTCGAGGTCCGAATACGAGAGCAGCCACGCCGACAGCGGTGTCAGCAACGCTCCTAGCCTGGCACCGATTCGACGCGAAGCCTCGCCGGTTGGCCAGCGCTCGTCGCCGTACATGGGCGCATCAGGCCATCATCTCGTCCACGGCACGAACGTCAGCTCGACAGACGACCTCACGTCGAGGCGACTCGGCCCCGGTAGCGGCCTGACGCCGCGGATCGAGCTGTCTTCGTACCCGACGCCCATGTCCTTGTCCAGCGGCACCGCGGGCGGCATGGCCAAGCGGGAAGCCGACATGCCAGGATCGCTTGGACTCGCATGACGGCATCGGCCCTGAACGTCTGGAACGGCCTGGCCCCACCCTCTCGCTCGTCAGCCGCCTTCACCTTGTTCTTACGGATTGCTCTCCAGCCGGTCTTGCTTCACCTAGGCTGCGACCTTCTGCGACGTCTCGTTTTCGCATCTCCTCGCTCTTCTTCCCTCTGCCTCTGCCCTGCCTCAGCCGACGCCTCTCGCTCTCCCCCTCCTCTTGTCTCTGCCTCTTGCCGCCTCTTCCTCTCTCTTCCGTCTCTCTCTCACCCTTTCTCCTCCTCTTCTTTCTTTCCCCTCTCTTGTCACGGTGTTTTGATAGTCTCCCACGTCGGGCAGCGAACTTGTAAAGGACCTCGATACGGGCACAATGGCCATTCTCGACAAACGCACACGCACACACACACATGTTCACACACACGGAGCTGCACAGACCGGAGCCCGAGGGCGGATCAGGCTGCCTTTCGGGCATTTTGCCAGCTGTCTCAGGCCGCCATGCGGGAAAGGCGGTCGGAGAGGGCGTCGGGGCGCCCAAAGAGGACGGGAGGCCAGCCGGGACCGTCTATGCCACGTAGCTACCGTACCACGCCACTGCGGCCGACGGGATAGTCGATGTGTTGACGCCGCACTGTGCCCCGCTTCAAGTCTTGCAGTGACTGTGGCTGTGGATGTGGCTGTGGCTGTGGCTGTGGCTGAATCCCGCCTGGAGGTCGACGCTGGCGAGGTAGACTCCGATTCCCGTCCAGAACTGTTTCTGCAGGTCGCTCCCCGTCCAGAAGGGGCAGAGGGTGGCGTGGTCGGTCGCGTCGAGCTCGACCGTGTACCACTGGTTCGGCTCGGGCAGCGTCATGTCCCAAGATGGCAGCCGCTGTCGCCGTTGCCGCTCCTCTTGCCGCTTGCCGCCTCCTTTGCGGTCGTGGTCCGCCGTCGAAGGTGGGGAAGATGTGACGGGGAGCGGCAGGAAGCGGTCCAGATCCTCGTCGCACGGCGTCAGGAGCGCGCCGTTGCCCTCCAACCCGAAGGCCCGCGCCGTCGTCGATAGCGCAACCGTCGCCACGCTCTTGGCGCCACGCAGCAGCGAAGGTCTCTTTGGTCTCGTCCCGGCCGTCCACCGCTTCCCCTCACCCCCGCCGCCGAGCGGGAACGCTTCGATATCATCCGCCGCCGCTGCCTCGATATCTTCCCGGGTCGGAAGGTCAATCTGCCTTCCGTCGGCTTGATCCTCGCATGGTGTCCGCTTGCCTTCCGAGTACGGCATCGGCCACGACGACGACGGGACCAAAAGGGTCGAGAGGATCCCTTCTGCATGTCGGCATCGTCCGGGCTGACATTCGCCGGGATGGAACTGGCTTGCGAGGGGTACGACGCCGTCGTTGCAGTACCACTTCCACAGCCCCGCTGTGGGTCTGACCGTCTTGCCGTCGGCCTCGAACTCGAGCCATCGCGGCGGTGGCTCGATGCTCGCGTAGTCGTACCGTCCGATCAGGTGCGAGGTCAGGGTAAAGGGGTAGAGGTTGAGGTACGACGGCGGTTGATGGTAAGGCAGTCCTCGGACCTGCGCTTCCCCGCTTCTTCCGGCTTCTTGCTGCGAGGGGACCGTCATGTACCCGGCATAGGAACGGTACCACGTCCTCGGACTCCTCCGACCCATCTCGGTAGCCGTCGGCGACGGGTAGGAAGAGGAAGAGGACGGGGCCCGAGGCAGCGGCTCGAGCCCCCATCCGTCGGATTCGTCGTCCCGCTCCCGCTCGCCCAGCGTGCAGTCCCACGGCGCACAGTCCCGCCCCTCTGCCCAGTCGCTCTTCAAGAGCTGACGCAGGAACCCGCGAAGACCTTGCCAGTCTCTACCTCCGACGTCGTTGTCGTTGTCCTGGCCGGCCCTCCCGCCCTCGGTGATGGTGGCCTGGGAGCGCGATGGTAGCCGCCGGTCCTCATACCGCTCCTCGTCTTCCGCCTGCTCGCTCGAGGTGCTCTGATTCTTCTCTCCACGCTGCTCGAGGTCCGAGTCACCGCTGCGGACGGTGACGGTGTGCGGGTCGAGCTGGATCGCCCTGCTGCCGCCTCCTTGCCGTTGCAGCTGCATCTTGCTCCTCATCCCCCTCCACGAAAAGTGCCAGGCATCGGCGTGCGCGTCAAAGAAGGGCACGTCGAGGTAGGCGGCGACGTGGACCGCCTTGGCGATGAGGCTGCCCAGGCTGAAGAAGCGCACGCGTGGCTCGGGGATGGGTTCCGACCCGAGCGAGTAGACGAGTGGCGTGCCGCGGAACGGCGACGAGATGGACGTGACCGAGAGGAGGAGGTCCTCCGGCCGCCACCGCGTCCCTGCCTCGCGATCGTAGTCGAGGGCAGCGTCGAAGAAGCCCTTTCGGAGGAGCTGCTGGAGCTTGAGGATGGTAGGCCCACCGAGGCTGTGTCCGAGAAAGTGGGCCGGCATCCGCTTCTCTACCTCGCCATTGTCCAGCCTGACCTCGCGCCCCCACAGTGGGCAGAGGGCAGTCTCGAAACGCCTGCCCCACCTCGAATGGCCGTGCTCCCGGGCGTGCTCTGCGCCATAGTCGACGGTGCCGCCGCGAAGCGCGTAGAAGAGCTCGCATGCCCGGTCGTGCAGGCTGGATACGGGCCCGATGGGCGCAAAGACGACGAGGCGGCTCGAGCCGAGCTGAGAGCGTCGCTTGCGTTTGCCCGTCGTCGTCTTCGTTTTCGTCTTCGTCGTCGCAGGCGTGGCCGTCGAGCAAAGCAGCTTCCTGTCCTCACTGCCGTCGTCGGCGGCCGGTGCCGTTTCGGGTAGGGCATCTGGCGGCGATTCGAGGTGGTCGAGGAACTGCTGGTGTCCTATCCCGAGGTAGGTGCGGAACTCGTTGCCCCACACGACGCTCTGAGCCGCGCTGAGAAAGCCTTCGACGATGATGAGCGGCGGTAGCAGCGATCCGTCGAGGGTCGCCGAGGTGGTGCCGCCATACTGCTGGGCAGTCGTACCCAGCGATGGCGCTGCCATCCTCTCCTTTGAGGAATATGTCGCGCTGAGTGGCCCTGTGGCCGTCTATGTGGTCCGGGTTGCGGTCGAGATCGCGTCGGCGATCGTGGTTCTACTCGTGATCGTGGAAGTGTTCGTGTTCGTGGTCGTGATCGTGATCGTGTACTGGTTCGAGACAGCGTATCGGTACCAGACCGGGGAACCTAGGTGTATGAGAGGCGTGGTGCGGCTATCTGGGCTCGCAAGCGGATCAACAGCTCTATGTTGCCGTATCGTATGATCTGCAGCCAGAGGAAAGATCAAGACGGCGCCGAGGGGCAAAGGCCGAAGACTGCTGGCTGGCGCGATGTCGGGGTCGCACGACACCGTGCCGCACCGTCCGTCGGCCGACGCAGCTGGATCGACAGGCGAGTGGCCGATGGAGCGCCTGATGGCGTCCGGAGGTGCGTCTCGGTTCGGCGCCCTGTCCGGTCCAGGCCCTCCGCGGTGGGTCGAGGATGTCCCGCGAGTATCGTGGCTCTACACGTCCGGCTCTGTGCGCCAACTCAGTGCCTGTCCGGGGGAGGTTGGGAAGGAAAGGACGGGATGGTGGTTCGAGACGAGACACACAGCGACACACGAGCAAGCCGCCACCCACTCCGCTCCTCGGTCGCCTTTATCTCCGGAGGATGGAGGCGTGGAGGGGTGATTCGAGGGGCGATGCTCACCGGTGCTCGAAGGCGGCAAGCCTAGATTGCCACGCGGGACGAGCATAGCTTCCTAGAGAAGGTCGGTCTGTAGAGCTCATCATGCAACGAGATGCACGCCTTGATCTAGTCCAGTCGCCGGCGTTTGCACAGAGGATCTGACAAAGAAGCCGCAAAGATCGACAGGGCCCGGCACCTCGCCAAACGGCAGGCCATGCTGCCGCCGGCGAAACCACGTCGCGGCCAGCATCGGAGCCGAAGATGGACAACCGCGACGCCCGCTCGGCGCCGCCAAGAGCACACGGTCCAGGGCATCATCACATGTATGGAATGGGCATCGATTGCACGGCCTTCGTCGGCGTCGTCGTCGAGCCGAATCACACGACAGAGAGCCTCGATGAAGCAACGCAGGAAAACAAGAAAGGACAAGAGGATCGGGAGAGAGGGAAGAGCATATACCGACCACTGCCTCCCTTCGACGTCCGGCCGCTTTGCAGCGAGATGGATGAAAACTCATATCGAGTCGCCGCCAGGTTCAAGTTTGCGCAGGCAGCAGAAGGAAGCCCCAGGGGACGAATCCCAAGGGACCCGGTCATTCATCTTGGTCCCAGCGAGCGCCGCAAATTCCCCACGGGTAAAGGGAACGGGTGACTCTAAAGCCAGGACCGTAAGGCCAAGAGGGGGGCCGGGACAGGGGAAAACGGAAAGCAGGCCGGAGCGACCAAGACCAAGAAGGACACCGGACAGCGAGCAGAAGGAGAGATCTTCCTCACTTAGACGGAGTAAGAGGGGTAGGAGGGCAAGCACAGTCTCTTGAACGGGCCGGAGCAGTGTAGCATGGATGGTATTGGTGCGGCTCGGTGGTCGGGCCGTCGATAGAAATACAGTTGCTGGGCTGGGTATCGTTGGTGAGGGCGGTGGGCGATGGACGATGGCGGTCGGTCGACGGGTTTGTGAGCGGGACGGAGGATCGGCCTCAGTCGTCGCTCTTGTGCGGGGGTGGACCGCAGGGCTGCAGCATGCGCTCGGTGAGCTCAAACTTGACCCTGGCCTTGGTCTCACCGTCGGCCACGGCCAGGTACGAGTGCAGCGGCGGGTGGCCCACGATCGAGGCGCTCGTGTCACGGTGCTGGTGCGTGATCCACTCGCTGAGGGGTCGAAGAGGAGAGCGGGCGAGCGAGTGAGGGCAGGCGCGGTCAGAGGGAGAACCTCGCACCCGGAACATCGCCGCAGGGGATCAGCCGACCAGGACCAACTCACTACTTCTCGGTGTCGGCGTTGATGGTGCCGGTGTAGCGGCTATGGAGATGCTCCAGCTGCGTGGCGGCCGTATAGCGGATGTCGGACATGGCGAAGGTCGGTGCTGAGAAGGGGGCGGCCAGAAGGCGTACCGGAGGAAGGGTGGGGAGAGGTGGAAGAAGAAGAAAAACTAGTGACGGGCGAAGAACGAGGCCGGCTCACAGCCCACAGAGAGAGCGGTGATCGCCTTCCGCTGCAACAGAGGTGGAAAAAAGGCAGGGCGGGCCCGTAGCTCGTCGACTCGGAACCGAGCAGCTGCGTGTCTCGAGCCAGGCGGGCGGCCCCCTGCCTGCTGCCGCCCCAAGACCAGCCCGGCATGGACCCTTTCGATCTGCCTGCTCCAAAATGGAAGGTGCGCCCACTGGATGGGAGCCAACCCCCTTGCCTCTGACCGTCACCCACCGCGCCACGGTCTGCTACAGGTCGCGATCCCCTCTTTGCTACCGCAGCTGGCTGCCAGACTTGGCCAGGTCAAGGCTCCAGCATGGCCAAGCCAGGCGCAGCACATCGACGCTTGCGCAACGCCCGTGACATGTCCCGTTCAACGGGCGGCCACTCCTGGACCCTTGCCACCTTGCTGCCTGCCAGGATGGTTCCGAGGGGGGACGGGGGCTCGCAGAGAGGTGTCCCTGGCACGGTAGGGACACCTCCTGCTCTCCGGGAGCGATTGACCCGGCGCCGAGTCTCTCGGGACGCACCATCGAGCGGACCGCAAGCTGGCCTCAGACCACCGTCTGGCCTGCATTGAAAAGCGCGGCGGCAACACATCGGGCGGCCACTCGGCGTCGACGAGACAGGTCGTGCACAGGAAGAGGCGGGCGGGCTGGCCGAGCACCCGGTGGCCGCAGCAGCGTCACTACCATCATCAGAGGTCGGCGAAGATGCACAGCACAGCACAGCACAGCACAGCACGTACGGCCGGCTTGCTCGGCGAGGGCGCAGCATCAACACCGAACACCGACCTTGCGCTTGCTGAAGGCATCGGCGATGGAATGCTCGGCACGGCGCGGCGAGGCGCGGCCGTCGTTTCTTGACAGCTGCAGTTCGGCATGGGCACGCCGAGCCCTGATCCCGAGGCAGGCTGAGATCCAAAAGCAGCAACAGCGGGAAAAGAACCAGCGGACCCCATACCGTACCGCCAGCGCGCTCGTCGCACGCCTCCGTCATGCCATACCAGCCTAGCTCAGCCACGCTCAGCCCGCGTCCTGCTGCGCTTTCCTTGTGCTCGGAGTTGCCCTCGGGCGCCGACGTTGGACGCTGAAGGCGCCGTCTCGCCGAGAGGGTGCGTGGTGCCGGCTCTCCCACACCCTCTCGTCACACTCTGTCTGGATTCTCTAAGCCTCGTCTTCGAAACCTTCTTGGCGGCGTCAGATGTGGCACGCCCCCTGCCCATCGGCCCCTTTTCCGAGGAGGATCGACGACCGACGCCTCCTGCCTCTCTGCCCCATTCCGCCCGAGGAGCCGACCATCGCAGTCCATCTGTCCGCTCTGTCCGTGCACCTACCGGATCGCACGCCGGAGTCGACCCGCACCGCGGCTGTCCCATGCAGTCGATTGCCACCGCAGGACGCGCCGGTTGAGCGCTGTACTGCACGTAGCTGCCGTCCAGCGCTGTGTAGCACCGCTCTGGTGCCTTGATCGTCTGCGACCGCCGCCGCCGCCCGCCCGCCCGCCTGAGCACATGCGAGAACCTCGTCAGCGCTTCGAGATCATCAATGCGGCCAGGTGTTAGGGCGTTCGGCCCCTCGGTGACCTCGCGCGGCCTCGCCATCATCGAGTGGCGCCCTGGCCGGGCAATCATGCTCCCCTGGCCTCCGCGTCTCCTGGTTGCAACGGCCCATTGTCCTCCCTCTCCTGTCCGCTCTCCCGGTCACAGCGTGGACGCCAAGACGAGTCTCTCGAGAACACCTTCGGCTTCGCCCTGGTCCGCCTGCTCAGCGAGATTCTCGTCGTCGAGGCCCGTCGTGGTTGCCATCTTCTGGCTTCTCACCACCATCCTCCACTGTACTCGACGTGTTCACCCATCCCTTCCCCATCCCCCGTCCCCTTTCGCATCTCTCCTTCTCGTCCATCCACGTCTTCAGAGTGTCCTTGAGTCTCAAACAGCATCGCCGATCCGCTTCGACACGGCAACCGCGCGTCTAGATCGCCTACTTTCGCGCCCCTGCCGACTACCTCCGCTACGGACCACGACCTCATCACATTCGTTTACCGCTCTTCAGTCTTGCTCTCTTGATTCCACCCTCTTTCCTCTCACTCTTTGCCCGTTTCTCGATCGCCATGGACCACAACGAACCCGACGGCTCGACAATACAGCGTCGAGCCGATACCGCTGTTGCTGCTGGGCCGACCCTGTCCACCACCTCGATAGCTCTATGCGCCGCCGGCGCCGTTTGCCTCCTACTGGCGGTCGGCGCGGCAGGTTACGCCTACCGCAGGTATCGGCGATCAAGAGCGTCGTCGAACACCTTCAAGGCCAAGATCAGCGAGCCCGAGCTCAGGGCTGCTCCAAAGCACGCGCTCGTCGGGCCCTCGATCCTCATCAAGTCGCCCACCGACTTTGGACGCGTCTCGTCCTCGAAACCATCAACGCCCGACTCCGCCATCGACGCGGCGCTCGGTCTGAACCAGAAGGGCAACAGGTTTACCGCCTCCGACGATGACTGGCTCGGAACGCGCGGTGGTGCTGCCGCCGTCGCGGCTCAAAATGCTGCCGTTCCTGGTCCGTCCAGGCCACCACGCGCCAAGGTGGCCCGCACCGCCGGACCGCGAGCACCTTCCTCCTCGCCTCCGGCAACTGGAAGCGGCGCTGCCAAGTCAGGGCGAGGCGCGGTGCCATCGCTTCTGATCCGCAGCCTCGGGGATCTACCACAGACGCAAACAACCCTGCAGGCCGGGCCCACCGTTCCTCTGGACGAAGCGCCAACAGGCTCGGCCAGCCTGAAAGCGCCCGACGCCGGCACCAGCAACGACGAAGACGACGATGTGTCCCTCACGCCGATCCTGAACCTCGACTTCACCTTTTCCGAGGATGGCAAGGGGGACACGTCGGCCGTGGCCCTCGAGGACCAGCTCGACTTTGAGATCGAACGGACGCGCTGGATGTCGAGTGCGCTCTCGACTGCGTACGAGGGGCGGATGTCGATCAAGTCTTCCTCTCGCGCCCCTTCCCGCACCTCGATGGCTTCCGCGAGCCCGCCGAAACCGGTGCCGCGGGAGCTGCCGCCTTTGACGCCGACCAGGAGCCGGGCACAGTCGGTGGCGCGTTCCGATGCCACGGGCGCGGATAGCAAGCCGGCCAGCATCTACTACAGCGCTTCCTCTGCGTCGGGCTCGCTCGCGTCTTCGCAGTCGGCCAAGTCGAACAAGGCTTTCACAGCGATCGCCATGCCCGACCTGCCCACTCAGCCCCCGAACCAGCCAGCCTTCGGGTCTGGCGCTTCCACCGGCAGCGGGTTTCTGCCTGCCCCCACCTTCCGACCGCTCAGCCTGGGTCTTGCTTTTGGCAAGAGCACGTCTCAGACCTCGCTCGGCTCTGCCGTGTTTGGCAACATGTCCGGCCTCTGGGCCGAACGGTCGGACGACGCCAACACGAGCGCGAGCGATCTCGAGTCTGGCCTGTCGGAATCGCATGCAATGAGCCGGGACTGGTCGAGCGGTGGCTTCTCGCACACCTCATCCAACACCAGCCTCGGGTCCGACGCCCAGAACACGAGCATCGCCAAGGCCACGGTCGTCCCCGCTGCTTCGCTTCCGCCGCTCCCACCGTTCCCGCGTCATCTCAAGAAGCCCGTCGATGTCAAGGCCGTCTCGCCCTCGAACAGCCCGGCGAGCAAGCTGGCAGTTCTCCCGTCTCCCTCGCAGGCACCTGCGCCCGAGATCCAGCCAACGTCCGCCCCCGCGCCGGCACCTGTTGCCGAGCCGGTGTCTGAGTCGAGCCTCGAGCGAGAGGCCGAGCCTGCCACCGAGCTGACCGCCGAGCCCATCGCTCCGGCTTTCACCCCGATGCGAAAGCGCGCCTCGACCTTTGGCTCGTCCGGAGAGCTGTCGGCCATTCTGCGCAAGGATCAGCTGGCGACGTCCTCTGTGGCGCCGGCTGTGCCCTCGACCGCGGAGGCCCCATCGACCGGGTCGTTGCAGATCAACACTGTCCACGCCAATGCGAGCGCCATCTCGCTGCCCATGGCCCTCTCTGAGGCCAAGCAGGCTCTACTGCGAGCCGGACCGCAGCTGCCCTTCATGAGCCCCTACCACCATGCCGTCTTCCCGGACCCGCCCTCGCACACCGGCCGGCGTTCGCTCGACGACCAGGGCCGCATCCCGCTGCAGGTCCAGCTGGCGGCAATGGCGAGCCCGGTCCTCGCAGGATCGCCCAAGCCGAAGTTCAGCGAAAGTCTCAAGGCGCGCCTCAGCCTCAGCCGCAAGTCGCTGTCCGGCTCCCCTATCCTTGGTGGACCCAAGGAGGGCTCGCCGCGCCTACCTCAGCTCGACCAGTCGCCCAAGCCCTCGAGTGCTGGTGTGCCCTTCCCGTCCTCTCAGGGCAGGGCCGACGTCGCCTCGTCGCCCACCCTCACTGGATTTTTCCGCCCGCTTCGTTCCCTGTCGCGGCCATCGACAGCGGAAGAGAAGCAGCGCATCGCCCGCAGCCCGCTGTCCAGCAGCGACCCTCTTCCGGCCACGTCGGTCGCCCAAGCGGTTGCGATCGTCGTCGCGGAGGCGGCGAGCATCAAGTCGCCCGCATCGGACGGCAAGGGCCCCGTCAGGTCCGAAGCGGGCGACCACGTCTCGCCCATCATGCAGCCTGGACGGTGGGCCGAAGGCGTTCCCCAGTCCCTCGCCGACGACAACCTGACGCCGCGCCGTCCGCCTCGGCCAGAGCTGCACCGCATCGACCTCAGCGCCCTCAAGGGACTTCCGCTTTCGACGTCGACGTCGAGCACGGCCACCACGTCGCCTCTCGACGAGATCGAGGCGCGCATCTCGATGCACATCGATGGGCCCGTCAAGACCGACGAGACGGAGGTGCCCACGCGAACCAACTTCGACTGCGAGAACATCGCCATGGAGGTCGTCGACGAGGAGCGCAACGCTGTGCACTCGCGCAGCGCCTCTGAGGTCTCGCTGGGCACCGCGCCCAGCTCGGTGCGCATGAGCGTCGCCAGCTCGGTCGCCGCCAGTGCGGCCGAGACAATGAGCATCGTCAGCAGCTGTGCCACCGACTCGGTCAGCGGCGAGTTTGACGAGTCAGCGGCTGCCTCGCGCCGCGCCAAGCTCCTGGCGAGCGTCAAGCAGAACCTGGCAAAGGACCTGGCAAAGGACCGCGAGGCCACCCAAACGGCGCTCTCCAGCAACGCCCTGCACGACATGTCGGCCAGCCTGTCGGACGAACCCAACAACTTCGGCCTTGGCCTTTACAGCGCTGAGCCCGAGGAGGAGGAGGGGGCGGCCGAGGTCGAGGTCGAGGAGGACGGAGACGTCTCAGCCTCGGCGACGGCGCTTGGCGGCCAGCCGCACCGAGGCCCGCGCTCCCTGCTCCTGTCCCGAGGCAGCCAGCACAAGCCGCTGGCGCTCAACCTCGTCGATAGGCACGCCAAGCTCGAACACGACGCCATGGCACCGCTGACGCCGCCCTACACGCCAATCCACAGCCACATGCTGCCGGCGGGCGGCGCTGTCCAGAGGCACTTCGAGTCGACCGCGACTGCGGCTGCGGCTGCGGCTGCAGCTCAGCAGACCGGTCGCCGCAAGCTCGAGCTCGTCTCTTCGATCGGCGCAGGTGCCCGGCCCGGCGTGGTGCCCACCGGACGATCGCGCTCCCACGCCGACATCGCCGCCGCCAAGGACGCCTTCGCTGGGCCCAGGACGACGGGCACGCGGCTGAGTCCTCTGACGGGCAGCCCCTCGACGCCGTCGCTGCCGACGTTTGCGAGCGGCACCGACACCCCTTTGCTGCACGCCGGCTACGGCACGGGCAGTGCCAAGCTGAGGCCGCTCAGTCTTGCGTCGTCGTCGACGGTGGTGGGCGGCGGCGCGGCCAACAGCTCCGAGGCCGGGACTCCCATCCTTCGCAAGCTGGCCGAACGGGCCGCCTTTTCGCCCGCGCTCAACACCGCCTCGGCGCTCTCGTCGCCCAACCCGAGCTACGTGGGCCGACCGAGCCTCGACCGCGCCAGCCGCCGCTTCTCGAGGTGCGGTCCGCCTGCCAAAGGTGGGGTTCTGCCCACAGTCAACTCCTCCGGCGCTCTGCAGACGGGTCGCGCCTACCATGCCGAGATTGCCTCGTCGACCAGCAAGGACTCGATGCTGATGTCGTCGTCCAACAACTCGTTTGCCTCGCTGTCCAACGGGACCTGCACCTCGAGCCCGGCGCGGCCGTCGTTCAAGAGCCTGTACGGCGGCGTCGGTGCGGCCGAGGCCATCCGCCCGCCTTCGCTGGTGGCGACGCGCCGTGCTCCCCAGCCGCCGATGGGCGATGCCATCGCCGAGGTGCGCACGTCGAGCGACGAGGTCCTCGCCGACGTCCTCAACCACGTCGACCTCGCCAGCGCCATCGGCATCTGAGCCTGCCCTGCCTGCCGGCGCCCAGCAATCCTTCATCCGACTCTTACTCGCTCCGCCCCGTTCCTTGACACCATGCGCTGTATCATCTCGCCGCACGCTTCTATCCGACCCAGTCCCTCATTGTACACCGTCCCGCGTCCACCCTGCTCTTGCCACCGGTACCTCGCTCCCCCCAGGATCTCCTTGATCCCTGCCCTACGCCGTCACTCTTGTCAGTCGCCCACCCTCGAGGTCCGGGCAGCGCCCTGGTGCGCTCACGCTCTCTCTCTCTCTCCGCCGTCGTCCGCCCCTATAGCCTCTTCCGAGCCTCGCTGTATTTCTAAAGCCAAGGTTGCTCTCACCGCCTTCTACGCGTGCCAAGAATGTGTGATCCATCGATGCTTGGCCACAGACCTGCATGAGCGGGTAGAATGCCGCTGAGCAAGGCGGAGAGGGAGACTGGGCTGCATCGCACGACGTCGCCGCTGGTGGGCGGACCACACTCTGTCGCTTAGAGTCACGTGCCTAGGGAAAAATTGGAGAAGGCCTCGGCCGAAATTTTCAGGAGAAGCGGGGCCCGGAAGGGCACGCTCGCTTCCGAACCTGCACGCACGCTCGTCGAGCGGGCTCAAGGCCAAATCCTGGCTCGGCGAGAGCAGCCAGCGTGGGCGTGGGCTGGGCCAGGGCCTCGGCGACCGAGGCAGGCAGGCAAGCAGGCAGGCGATCAGCGCTGGGCTGGCAGGGGCGGGCGGGCGAGAGGGGCTGCAGAAGCTTTCTGCTCACCATCGCCACCACCCCGCTCCATCCCCCCCCTCAAGCAACACCCCCTCCCGTACAACATCGCAACAATGGTAAGTCGCGCAGCCGCTCGCGAGCTCCAGGACGACATTCGACATCTCCTCGACCGATCCGACAATCGACGACGGCGGCGTGCCGACCATTCCAGCGACCATCGACTCTGCATCGACCGACCCGACCCGACCCGACCCGACCGTCCGACTGCTCGACCCGACAATGCGACCGAGCGATGCGGAGGAACTACACCGCGATTGCTGCTGCTGAAGAGGAGCAGCCCTGGCGTCGTAATGCCGGATCGTACGGGCCTTGGTGAAGGTGCAGGCTGGGATACGATTGGCGTTCAGATGGGAGATTTGGGTTCTCGCCGGGCGCACTCCTTCTGGCTCGCTATTTGGCAGTGCGGCGACAACGACGACAGCCCCGGTCGCACCAGGCTCTACCTTTCCGGCTCTGCACCAAGCCTCGCCGACACAGCACCTTCACCGACTTGCGCCCCCTCCTACTCCCGCAGCACCCGGGATCGTCCCGCGTATCCGTATCTCCCGCATCCGCATCGAGAGAACCAACGTCTGACCGCCAACCTGCTTCGCCTTGATTCTTTCGACGGCGAACCCTGCACTCCGCCTCCTGACAGGCTAAGGTCAAGGCATTCGAGCTCCAGTCCAAGTCCAAGGCGGACCTAACCAGCCAGCTCGAGGAGCTCAAGACTGAGCTCCTGCAGCTCCGCGTCCAGAAGGTCGCCGGCGGCAACTCGAGCAAGCTCACCAAGATGTGAGTAGAGATGCGCCGCAGCACCGCATCGCCGTGTTGCCTTGGCACTCGACGCTGATAAAGCCCATCTCCTCTCGCTCTGCATGTCGCCGCATCTTCCTACGCGATCCCGACAGCAACACTGTCCGCAAGAACATCGCCCGCGTCCTCACTGTCATCAACCAGAAGCAGCGCGCCAACCTCCGCGAGTTCTACAAGGGCAAGAAGCACATCCCGCTCGACCTCCGTGCCAAGAAGACCCGCGCCATCCGAAGGAAGCTCACCAAGGTACGGATCCTCGCACGCGCGCGCGTTGACTCACTCTGCTGCCGACTCTGCTGCCGTCGCACGGATGCTGGCGGTCGACCTCTGCCGCCTCATGAGAGCCATTCGGAAAGATGACATGGGTCAGGGACGGCTGGGACGGGATGGATTCGGTGAAATAGGTCCGGTCAAGCCGACCGGGCAGGGAGCGGATCGCACACGCAGCGAGGAGCGTTCGAGCCCGCACATTGGAGGGATGGGACCCCGCCGTCATCCGTGGCATCACGCTGGAGGTCTGGTGGCACCGCGGACCTGCTTCACAGCACGGCAGGCATGGGCCGGACTGCCCTGGAGGACTTCTCTCGCGACCAGGAGGGCATTCGGCGACCGTCAGCAGAGTCTGCGCGGCCGCAGACGTCGCTCCAACACACTTCGAACACGACATGCTGACGCTTTTTCGCACCTTGCCTTCTTCACCCCGCTCCCACACAGCACGAGGCCAAGGCCGTCACTGAGCGCCAGCACAAGAAGAACATCCACTTCGGCAACCGCAAGTTTGTCCTCAAGGCATAAATGCGCTGAAGCCATCGCTCGACCACTTGTTCTCGGGATCCCAAGGGGACGGCTGGAAGGATGAGACGGTTTCGCGCCGTCGGTTGGAGGGGCCTGGCAGGAGGCGATGGGCCCAAAGCTGGCGCACGGGAAAAGGCGGCACGAGGGTAGCAGCCCCTCGTGTCGATCTGCCTTGCTCTGCGCCTCGGTGTCGTCGATGGGCGTGGGTGTTGCGGCGTCGGGGATCTCGTTTCGGGCCTTGGGTTTCTAGTGCAGGACCTGGGCCGACGAGGCGAGGACTCTGATCCGCGAGTCGCTCGGCAGGTGCCTCTCCGTGCGCCGTCCGAGCAGCAGCGGGCGTAGACTTGATGGGCGACTCCCATCACATTCGGGCGGCGAATGATCCGAGGCAGGCCTACGTCTAGCCTCGGTCCTTTGCCGTCTCATATGCTAGGCTTTACTCTCTCTCTCTCTTGTCCAGGGAGGCCTCATCTTGTCTTGCCCGCCATCGCCGCCATCCTCGACTTTGCCACCAAAAAAAATTGTACTCTTCCTCTGCTTCGAAGACGGCTGCCTGCGCATTCTTCCGGGGCTCACCGTTCTCGAAATCCACACAACCCTACAGCATGCATGCACAGATCCCTACTGCTTCGTGACGGCATCGATGAGAGCAAACTGACGGGCTCCTGCCAGACGAGTGGGGCCGGACGAGGGCCGAGGCTGCGCCGGATGTGCCGACCCGCTGGCAGGCCAAGCACGCAAGGTGGCTGCCCGGCCCACGCGCTTGAGCCAAAAGGTTGGGCGCCGACGCTGAGCCGAGCTTGCCTTCTTGCCATCACACACCTTTCTCGAGCCCTGCAATGACATCGGCAACACCGCGCTACCATCATCACCTTTCGGGCACTCCGTCCGGCGGGGAGGGACGGTCCGAAACAGCGATGTGAATGATATGGCTGGCGACGCCCAACACCAGCCAGGTGTCGGGCATCCCGGGACAGAGACCCCACCAAGCCGGAGCATCATCATGCCTCCTTTCGGGACCATCCGAGCGCGGATGGCTGGCAGCTGAACCAGCAGAGGTCTCTTCCGCTCCGCTGATGCCGGCAACGAGACGCTCGACTCGACCCGCCGAGCCAGAGTATAAGGGCAGGGGGATGCCCCTCGCCCCTCGATGTCCCGTCCGCAGCGTCTCATTCCCCATCTCGCCTTCTTGCGCTCTCCCATTTCGTCCGCACAACGAGCCGATAGAGGGTTCTGCTCCATCTTTCTCCCGGAAAGCCTCGCCCCGATCACGATGGTGGCCGCCTCCAAGGCGCTTGCGACTGGGCGCAGAGCGGCCAAGGTCAAAAAGGTCCGGATCGCCCCAGAGGCGCTCCAGAAGAAGCAGATCGTGCTCCAGGAGCACGACCACGTCCATGCAGACGCATCACCCAAGGCCGACGGGCAGAAGTATGCGACTCTGCTGAGCGACACGGCTGATCAAGGACAGCTGCAAAAGGCACTGGCGAGGGAGGGCCACCGCGTCGAGGACATTGCGGGTGCCGTGGCGATCCTGTCGACGTCCCGAGGTGGCCGAGCGCAAAGTGAGCAGCCTCGGTGGTCGTTCCCTCGCCGCTTTCCAACTCTCGATGCTGACGAAAAGGAAGAGACCCTCATCCGCAACGGGCAGTCCTTCGCCTCGACTGCTACCACCGAATGGTGGTCGGTCGCTTCGAGCAGTGGTAGCTGTCGACCCGCGCAAGAATTTCCTCGGCCCTCTTGTGCAAGATCGCCACCTGACTCCTCTGCCGCTATCGCTCTTGCACCCAACGCCAGCGACTACGTGCTGCCCGAGATGAGCGTCTCGAGCATCGTACGTCTTTCGACCGACGGCAGCTCCGGCTGCGCTAGTCGCACCATACTGATCCCCTTGCATCTATTCGTGCCATGGCGTCGATCGTCTAGCACTTTGTCCTCTTCGCCTACCAGTGAGGACCGCTCTGCGCAGCCGCGCGCCCATCGCGAGATGGTCAGGGCGTCTGATCGCGCCTGCCTGCTTCTGCATGCCAGGACCGACTCGGGAGAGATCTTTGTCAGCTGCGAAGACAAGTCGACCAACGGCCTCGTGTGGAACGGCTCTCGCATCCGCAACACCAGCGTGCTGCTCAGCGATGGCGACCAGATCCAGGTGCCTGGCTCCCAGAGTGAGTACCGTCTCCGTGTCGTGGCGCAAGTGCAGCTGCGACGGCCGGCTGACTTGATCGTCCATGCCCGTGCTTTGGCGATGCCGCAGCCTTCGTCTTCACTCAGATGACCGGCTACTCACGGGAGTCCAACACCCGCAAGCGGGTGCGTACGGCGACGGCGGCTCGTGGGTCTGGCACGGGCGGCGAGCTCACCACTGATCCGAGCTTCCACCCGTCGCCGATCGAGTAGGCAGTTGAAGGCTACAGGGTATCAACACGAGTTCTCGGAACGTGGGTACTTGGACGCGCAGGTCTCGCGACGGCACCTTCAGCGCGTTGATCGCGGCCGACAAGATCTGCATCGTCAACAGTGGTTCCTTTGGCAAGGTCTACCTGGCCTACGACGAGGTTGCTCGACGGCAAGTCGCATGCAAGGTGCAGAGCAAGACGGCGGGGAACAAGGACAAGACGGGCATGGATCTGAAATGGGAGATTGAGGTGAGCTGTCCAGGGAGAGGACGTGCTCTGATGCGGCTCGAGGTGGAAGCTGATCAAGCATCGCCACCTCTCCGGCCGTTTGCGAGGCCCGATCCAGATCTTGAAGAGGGTCTCGCATGTGAGGACCGCCTGAGTCCCCCCATAGCCCGGGCGATCACAGTTCAGGAGCTGATCAGTGGACCGCCAGATCGAGCAGCCCAACATCAATGACCTGTACGACGTCTTTGACGACGGGCAGAGCATGTGAGAGCGCCTCTGGGCCTTGTGGGGCGCTTGGGCATGGTGGATAGCGGGAGCTGACAGCTCAAAAGAATCCACCGACACGGCCCGCCCACAGGCACCTCTTCTTGCAGCTCGTCGTGGGTGGCGATCTCTTCGAGTACATCGTGCGCCAGCGCCATCTGCCAGACGACGTGGCCAAGTGTACGTGGGGCACCGCGACCCATCGAATTGGTTCTCTCGACGGTCCCAAGTAAGCTTTGAGTTGACGCAGAGGCGTGAGCTGGCTCTCCCCATCTGTCGCCAGTCATCGTCTACCAACTCACGAGGGCTCTCACCGTGAGTTGGCCTCTCAGGGCCGCGACCAGGTCGAAATGTTGGTGTCGTAGCTGACCTGCCGTCTCTGTGCTCCCGACGCAGTACCTGCATTCGAACGGCATCGCTCATCGAGGTGAGTCAAAGCGCCGCACTCAACGCCAACGACAGGGAGGACGCAGCTGATCTGTGGCCCGCCTCGTCCATCTCTGCAGACATCAAGGCAAGTCGCTGCTCCTCCGGCTCCTTGCGCCGGGCTGGCATCCGCTGATACTCGACACGGAAAACGCCTGAATGGACCGCAGCCCGAAAACATCCTGCTGGTCCGAGGCGGCACCGTGATGCCGCACGTCTTGCTTGGCGACTTTGGCCTCGCCTACGATGCGGCCGCACGGGATGCCGGCCAGGACGAACAGGAGCCGATTGACCCAGAGGGTGTCAATGGCACGGGCGTGAGCGTCGGAAAGGCCCACGGCACCTTCTGCAGGACCAGGTCGCACGTCGGCACGCCGTCGTACCTGGCACGCGAGGCGCTCCTCTCGCGCTACACGGGCGAGCCGTACGACGCCTTCAAGGTGAGCAGGTCGTCCGGGAAGGCGGAGTCATCCGAGTTTGCTGGCGTGGGCATGAGACTGATGCGCGTCGCTCCCTCTCATCTCTTCTGTCAAGATGGACTCCTGGAGCCTCGGCGTGATGCTCTTCTTCATGCTACAGTAGGTGGGCGGCGCCGTGCGGGCAGAAGGGCATCCTCTGCAATCCCCCACCCGTGACGAGGACTGACGAGTGCGCCCACGCCGACCCACCGCGCCGAGCACAGCGGGATGCATCCGTTCGACTACGGCAGCGCCGAGCCGATGATTGTGACCAAGTCGCTGATCGAGCGCCAGCTCATCCTCGACGGCGAGGTTGAGCTACCGCCCGGGCACCGTCACGACGACATTCTGGCTGAGCAAGCCAGCCACCCGAGCGCCCCTCTGATCCAGCGGATCCTACGCCTCGAGCTCTTCTGGCCGCGTGAGTCGCAAGCCGCGAGCGCCCTTCACAATTCGATTTTCCCCGTCCGGGCGCCGAACGACCATCAGCGCTGACGGCCACGTACGCTGGCGACACCCTGATTCCGCATCCCAGCACTGGCAGACGGCGAGCGGATTAGCGAGATGGCGCAGAAGCTCATCGTCGAGCTGCTGAACCTCGTGCCCGAAGAGCGGCGGTCGGTGACGAGCATAGTCGAGTCCGAGTGGGTCGCCAGCGAGGCCGAGGAGCTCAAGTCGGCCTACGACAGAATCGTCCAGGCACCGTGAGCTGGGGCGGCATGCGAGGCCTCGTGTGCTGTCGGTCGGGGTTTGGCCTGAGTCAGGGACGGCGGTCGCAGAAGGCCCTGATGGTTTCACCGTGATTTGCCCGAGGAAGCGCAGAAGGAGGGTTGCCGGAGCCGGAGAGGTAGTACAAGATGGGGCGAAGGTGGCCAGGCAAGGAGAGGCTGCGGCGCGCCAGCTCTTCGAGGTCGGATGCGGACGGGACACTGCAGGTTCTTTGTCAAGTTTACGCTCCACCACTGTGCGGACGGACAGGGCCAAGGGATAGAGAGAACGGGATACGTTAGCAAGCCATGGGGCCGAGCGCACGACAGCTGCCCGGCGCGGCGACGGCGCAAGGCGTACTCACACAAGCTGTTCGGCGCGAGATCGGGAATGGCGAGGACAGGAAGCACGGCAATGGCAGACGATGAAAGGTCAGCTTCTCGCTTGGTCCGACGACTGTCTGTCCTCCTTACGAGACAGCGGGTGGAGATGCTCACGATCGAGTGAATGGGGATGTGGATCTGCGACGCGAAAGGGGGAGAGGCAGCGCAGTATGAGAGGGAACAGACGAGCAAGGTAAGAGGCTGGACGGCAACGAAGAGAGAAGGGAGCTGGAGCGGCGCGGCGGACGACATCGTGACGAGACTTACGAGCTTGACAAAGTACCCAATGAATCCCATGACGACGAAGCCCATGCCGACGGCCCTGCAGATCTGGATGTACTCTGCGCCGAGGCGAGGCGAGGCGATTCGAGGAGCGCGAGTGGCGGGGGGAGAGAACGTGTGAGCATCGCATTGCGAGGTGCCGCTGCTCGGCTCGAGACGGAGGGAAGAGGGGTGCTCACCCTTCTTGTTGGGCTTGGTACACCTGGTCATGAACTGGGTGCCCTCGCGGATGAAAGACTGGGGGATATCGACAATCTCCTTGATCTTGTCAGACATGTTGGGCAAGGCAAGGCGGGCGGATTTGCGACAGAGATGCAGCGCGTGACGAGGAGTAGGGTGGTGGCGAGTGAAAGGACACGGGGCGGAGGTAGGGTGAAGGTGAGAGGAGAGAAAGAGAGAGAGAGAGGATGGGGAGGCACGGGTCGGTGCCCCGCACACACCGGCCGGCCTTGGCTTCCAGCGTGGCGGCGGCGGCGGCGGCAGCAGCGGCGGTGGCCTGCTTGCTGGCTTTGGCCTTGTGGCCGCCGAGAAGGTCTGGAAACGGGCTCGACCTGCCAGCACGAGCCCTCTCCCAGCCTTAGCCTCAGCGCCAGCCCAGCCAGCTGGGCGGCGGGGCGCACCGCATCCGGGCGAGAGAAGACGCGCTCCTGCCCCGCCGGAGCTTTTTTGGGCGGGCCGCGAAGAAAACCCTACCCTCGCTCCTCGCTCTACCATCGTCGCCGTCGTCGCCGTTGTCACCATCATCACCAACCCGAACCGCTACCCATCTCCATCTTTCCTGTGCCGCCGCTCAGCACCGTCAATCACACCACGCACGCACTCGCACGGACCGACGCCCACCATGTTCTCCGCCCGCCTTCCCGCGCTGCTGCGCACCACACCCGCACGAAGCCTCACCGCGTCGTACCCGCACCTCGCCCCATTCAGCTCCACCTCCTCGTCCTCCTCGTCATCCTCCTCTTCGACCACACCCGCCGCCAGCAATGCGGCACCACACTCTGCGCAGAGCGAGATTGCGAGCAACGCCGACGCGGCGAGCATGACGATGGGCGACGAGGAGGCATTGGCGGCGACGGCGGCGGCGGCGGGCGAGGGGGCAAGAGCGGTGCAGCACCCGTACTTTGTGCCGCGCATCGGCAAGACGGGCGACTCGCTCCCCGTCTACACCGATATCCGCAACGGCGGGACGCGCGTGCTCACAGAGATCCGAAAGGTGCAGGGCGATGTCGAGGTGAGTCTTCTTGTCGGCCCGTTGCGCTGCGTGGCGCAGTGCTGCCTCCCGGCGTTGCCTTGCGTGGTCCTGCATCCATGCTGAACCTGCCCCTCCCTCCTCCTACCTACTCGCCATGCCTTGTCGCCCACACGACCGGCTTCACCCCACCCCCCCAAGGCGCTACGCAAGGACCTCCTGGCCAACCTACATCTGTTCGCCCTCGAAAACGCCACCCCTTTCGAGACCGCCAAGAAGCCCATCAAGCCAAGGGCGGGGAGGAAGAGCGGCCCACAGCCCGGCCACCCCACCGCCGCCGTGCCCGTCCAGGTCTCCAAGGTCGACGCGGCGGGAAAGCTCGTCGTCAAGGGAAACAAGGTCCGCGAGGTCAAGGCCTTCCTCGAGGCAAAGGGCTTCTAGAGACGCCGCTCCTCACGCGGGGTTGAGTCGGGACGCGAAGCAGGGGATGACGGAATTGGAGCGAGTTGGAGAATGGCAGGGTCGAGATCGGCCTGTTTGGCGACGCCTCACGTTCGACTGCACTCGACACGACATCGAGATGCGGCTATCACACACCCCACAGCTGGCACAGCGTACACGCATGGTCAAAGCGGGAATTGGGCCACCATACCGACTGGCACGGCGCAGGTCAGGGTTTGATTGAGACGAAGGACTACCGCTAACCTTCGCGCCCGGCCGATTCGACACGGGTCCCAGGGATAAGGTAGCAACAAGGAGACAGGCAGGACGGGCCGATATGGGCGCACTCAGTCGAACCCGGCACCGCTCCTCTGCTTCTTGCGCTTGTTGGCCTTGTGGTGCTTCTTGCCCGCCTTGGCAGCCATCAGGTTGGCCGTCGTCGCCTCTGGGCCGACGCTGGTGCCGTCGTTGGCAATCTTGCCTCGGATCGCATCGACGCCCCCCATGCCCTTGCGGCCCTGGATGTTGGGCCGGGAGCTGGCAAAGGCGTCGAAAAAGGCCGAGTCGAGGGCGAGCGACTTTGCGCTCGGCCGCGCCGTCGGCGTGGCACGGTTGCGCGTCGCAGCGGCCGCAATCATGGCGTCGAGGTCCGCCTCGTCGAGATCGTCGAGATCGACGTCGTCCCCGAACTGACCCTGCAGCCGCTCTTCGGCCGCAGCCGCGTTGCCGCCGCCGCCGCCGGCCTTTGCGGCCTCCTGGCGTCGCGCGGCGAGCGCGGCGCGGATGCGTTGCCGCTGCGCTGCGTTGAACTCGTCGCCGTCAAGGCCGGGCGGCGGGTGGTTGTAGAGCAACTTTGCGTTGACGTAGTCCTTGAGGACATAGCGCACCGCGCGCGACTCGTCGGCGCCACTCTGGCCCTGGCGCGTGTAGCCTCTGGCGATGGCGTACGAGTGGAGCATCTCCAGGCCGGTCGGCACGCCGGTGCCGCCCTCTTCCTCGGGCAGCGTGTCGATGCGGATGCCGTAGGTGGCCTCGATGATGTCCTTGGGGATCCGCTTGGCGACCAGCTCGGCGGGCGCGGTAAACTCGCGCATCTGGTCGATGGGCAGCACGCCGTCGGTCACGAGCTCGGCCGAGGTGGTGGCGAACTGCGGGAAGACGAGACCGGGGCAGTCGCACAGCACCGTCTCGGGCGACAGGTGGATGGTCTGGAAGTGCTTGGTCTTTCCGGGCGTCGCCGAGACCGATACCTTCTTTTCGCCGAGCAGAGCGTTGATTGTCGAAGACTTGCCGACGTTGGGGTAGCCCACCAGACCGACGACGAGCTTGCTGGGTGCGGGCGCTCCCTCGATGGCGAAATCCTCGAGCGGCGGGGCGCACGCCATGAACAGCTCCTCGAGCTCGAGGACGTTAAGCACGCGGCACGGGTCCGTGCTCGGCTCCAGGTCGGTGGCGGCGGTGGAGAGGGCGGCATCGACGGCGTCGTCCTGGCCGTGCTGCTGCTCCGAGACGAGGGCGTCCTTGACGGGCTGCCCTCGTCGCGCATCGAGCCGGTCGGCGGCCTCTTGACCGACGAGCGGCTTGGCGTCCCGGGTACCGAGGTCGACTGCCTGTGTCGCATTCGCGAGCTGCTCGTCGACGTCGTTCGACCCATTCTCCTGTCCCTCCCCCTCGTACCCGTCGTCATCCTCGCCGTCCGCCTCTTCCTCGTCCTCTTCGTCCTCGTCCTCGTCCTCACCCTGCTGCTTCTTCCGCTCCGCTTCCTCAGCGGCTAGCGCGGCCTCGTCGGCCAATCTCTGCTCCTCTTCGGCGCGAGCGGCCTGCAGCGCAGCGGCGTTGAGCGCGCTGAAGAAGGCATACTGAATCCCTTGCGCGTCAAAGTACTTGGCCCACTCGCGTCTGAGAAAGAGCGGAAGACGATGAGAGGGGATGTGACGGGCATTGGGCGGCTCGAACGTCAGCATCGGCACTTTGGCGATGTAGCAGAGGCGGTCGAACGAAAGAATGTCGGCACTCACCTCTGCTGGTCGTCGAGCAGGTCGGCCTTGTTGATGAGGAGGAGGTTTCTCCGCTTTCCCCTTTCGCCGTTTGCCTCGTCGACGTAGCCCTGTCCCTCGGACGTGGCGATGTTGAGTCCCTGGACGTACTTTTCGAGGTCCTCGCAGCGGAAGCGGAGCGGGTTTCTGGCGTCGACGATCTGGACGACGAGGTGGGAGCGCTCAATGACGCGCCAGAGCTGCCTCCACACCTCGATGTTGCGCTCGAAGGGCGTGAGGACTAGTCCGACGCCCTCCTGGAGCTCGGCGAGTCCTCTGCGCCACTCGAGGAAGGAGTCCTTTTCCTTCCTCTCGAGCTGTGCGCGGGTGGTGGCCGAGGTCCAGGCGGGCCTGCGGGGCACGCGGAGGCGTTCCTTGTTGAGTGCCTGCTTTGCGAGGACCTCGCGCTCCTCCTGTCCGGTGAGGAGGTAGGGGTTGTGCCTCCTGCGGTCCTTTGAGGGCGCGGAGATGACGGTAACGTTTCTGCGCTCTGCGGTAAAGTCTGCGTCTGCGAGCTGTGCGGTGTTGAGGAACTCTTCGAGGTCGCCCTCGTGGGTGACGGAGCGGAGGTTGGAGGTGGAGCCGTAGTTGTTGATGTCGGTGGTGTGGAACTCGGACGAGTTCTTGGACTGGGCGTCCTTGACCTTTCGATTTGCCAGGGCACGACCGAGGCCGACTTTGTTCTTGGACTGAGGCAGCGGCTGCGGAGAGGGTGGAACAGAGAGGGAATCGACGCAAGAGGAAGTGGACGAGGGGCCCGCATCAGCAGCTGCGTCGCCGAGGCAGCCAGCACGGGGAGAAGGGGGTGCGGTCGAAGACGCTTACCATGATGGAGCTGCTCCTGCCGTTGCCGTGCGAGGTGGTAGGGTGACGGGTTGTTGGTGGTGGTGGTGGTGGTGGGAGAGGTGGCGGTGGCGAAGTGGTCCTAGCTCGCTGGCTGAGAACAGGCAGGTGGCAGGCTCAGGCTAGGCTAGGCTGGCCCAGGGTGGTTAAGGCCGGCTGCTCGCCTGCAAGTTTTCTTCTTGACCTCACCCTGACCCTGCAATACAAACCCGGTGAAGGGTGCAATACAGATTCGCCGCCTCCACAGCCCGCCAGCCGCCCCGAACTGTATTGGATTTTTTCCCCCACGCCGGCTGCCCGTTTGTATTCGGATTTTTTGCAGCCTCTCTGGCACACCCAACCTTGTCGTCCCGGACCCCGCCTGCTTGCTCCCTTCTTCTTCCATCCCGGCCTCCCTCGTCCCACTCCTCCTCCCCGCCTCTCTCAACGCTGCACACAAGGTCGGCTTCGTCTCCAGCCACCGGCAACGCCGTCCGTGGCCCAACATGGACCCCACTCTCAAGCTCATGACCCTCATCAACGTCAGCGCCGCCAGACCCGGCAAACGCCAGAAGCTCGCCACCTCGCACTACAACAAAATCACCAGCAGAGCCGCAGTCGCTTCCACCACCCTCTCGCAGAGCACAAAGCCGAATCGCGACTCACTACCTGCTCCCAGCTCAGACGATGCCGAGCTCGCACACTCCGCCACGCCCAAGCTCGTAGGCGCCGACGATGCCGATTCTTCCGACGACGACGACGACGACGACGAGCGGGGTGACGGCCAGCACGACGGCCAGGGACAGCAACGGAAAGGCGATGGGGCGGCCGCAACAAAGGGCAAGGCTCCCGTAGACGCCTTTCAGGCCCACTTTGGCTCGCTAGGCCCGCATGCCCAGGCCGTCGAGAAGCTGCCCGCCGAAAACGCAGAGCTCTCCTGGACCAACTCGCGCCAAAAGCTGGGCCCGCTCGGCGACGTCGTAGTCTCTCGCCCGCAGCTCGACGGCCTGGACAGCCAGAATGCGGAGCTGGTCGGCCACCCGCAGGCAAAGGTGCTCGAGTCGTTTCAGCACTACATCGAGAAGCGCTACCCGACCGGCATCACGCCGCTCCAGACGACGCTGGCCAACAAGCTGGCGAGCTACATCGACGTCGCCCATACCGAGGTCGACCTCGACGAGCGGGCGCAGCTGCGCGAGACCATCGCCATGCACGCCATGAGCCACGTGACAAAGACGCGCCGGAGGATCCTCAAGAACAACGAGCGGCTGGCCAAGCTCGCCTCGGCCGACGACGGCGCCGCCGCCTCGCTGACGGCCGACGTGCGCGACCAGGGCTTCACACGGCCCAAAGTGCTGGTGCTGCTGCCCTTCCGCAACTCGGCAAAGGAGTGGGTGCGGCTGCTGCAGAGCTTCTCGCTGTGCTCCCAGGTCGACAACAAGTCGCGCTTCGAGTCCGACTTTTCGCTGCCCGAGGGCACCGTCGACAAGCTGGCCGACGCCTCGGCCTACTCGCGCTTCCCGCGCGACCACGTCGAGACGTTCCGCGGCAACATTGACGACAGCTTCAAGCTCGGCCTCAAGGTGACGCGCAAGAGCCTCAAGCTCTACAGCCCCTTTTACGACAGCGACGTCATCGTCGCCAGCCCGCTCGGCCTGCGCCTCATCATTGAAAAGGAGCGCGACGCCGACTTCCTCTCGTCGATCGAGATGCTCGTGGTCGACCAGCTCGACGTCATGGCCATGCAGAACTGGGACCACCTCCAGTTTGTCCTGGGCCACCTCAACCAGATCCCCAAGCAGGCGCGCGAGACGGACTTTTCGCGCGTCAAGCAGTGGTACCTCGACGGGCGGGCGCCCCTGTTCCGGCAGACGGTGCTGCTGTCGGGCTACGACTTCCCAGAGCTGCGTGCGCTGTACGCAAAGGAGCTGCGCAATGTGGCGGGCAAGCTGCGCACCGTGCGCACCCACGCCGAGGGCACCATGGCGCTGACGCGCCCGGGCATCCGGCAGGTGTTTACGCGCTTCGACTGCGTCAACCTGCACTCCGAGGCCGACCTGCGCTTCCAGCACTTTACCACCAAGACCTACCCGCAGCTACAGAAGAGCGCCGTGTCGTCGAGCCATACGCTCGTCTTTGTGCCGAGCTACTTTGACTTTGTGCGCCTCGACGACTGGCTGCGCAAGCAGAAGGGCGCCAGCTACGCCGCCATCTCCGAGTGAGTCGTCGGCGTCGTCGTCGCTAAGCCACGTTGCCGAGGCTGGGCCTGTTGCTGACCCACCGTGTACCCCTCCTCCCTTCCACCTGCTGCCGCCGTCGCCGTCGCCGCTCCTCCCCAACCCAACCCGTCCAGGTACTCTACGAACCGCGAGATTCTGCGAGCGCGAGAATCCTTTTTCTCGGGGCGCAAGGCGATGCTGCTCATCACGGAGCGCTTCCACTTCTACCGGCGCTACTTTATCCGGGGCGCAAAGACGCTCGTCTTCTACGACCTGCCCGACCACGCCGCCTTTTTTGCCGAGGTGCTCCAGTTTCCGTTTACGCGGAAAAACACGATTTTCCTCGAGGAAAAGGCCAAGGCTGGCAGGGCTGGAAAGAGAGGTGCTGGAGACGAGGGCGACGAGGAGGAGGAGGAGGAGACGGATCCGAGCGAGGTGTCGGTCCATGTCGTCTTTTCGCGCTATGGCTTCATGAAGCTCGAGAGGATCGTGGGCGCCCAGGAGGCGAGGAGGATGGTCGAGGGTCAGAAGGCTACCTGGCGCTTCGTCTAGGTTCGAGTTCCAGGCCCCCCCTTCTTCCTGTCGAGGGGACGGGCGAGCGTCGATGGTTTTCGGCAATGGATGAAAGAACATATCCCCCCTCGAAGACGCGCAGTCCCTGCTCCCCTCTACCCGGGAGCGTGTCAAAACAAGATGGCGTGGTCCCGCGTGCCTCAACCGATTTTCCCGCCGAGCGGGACGGCTACAGCGGTGCGTTATCGACGAGGGCCTTCCAGCGCGCCCACACGTCAGGACTGACGAGGTGGTGCGGTACGAGTTCGAGGACCCTCTGCGCCGCTTCTGCTCCGCCTACGCCAAAGCCTTTGGCGCGGACGACGAGGGGCCAGAGGACGCGACCGAGCAGGTCGTCGATGAGGCCCAGCAGCTCTGTCCTCGCGCCGTGCCAGCCGGGAGAGACGTGGCGCGACCAGGAGACGAGGTTGGTGAGCAGCGTCGTAATGAGGCGGCGTACGAAACCCGTCAGCGCCGCCGGCGTCGAGGGGTGGATCGAGGGCGCCGCTAGGCCCGGTGGACCGGCCATGCTCTCCACGAGGGCGGTCGTGTGTTGGCGGAACAGACCGAGGTAGCTCGTAATGAGCGTCTGTTCGTGTGTCGTTCGGTCGGTCGCGAGGGACAGGGACAGGGACGAAAAGACGGTCGAGTGAGCACTTCGTCGTCGACGCCGGGCAGGGCGGTCGGAGCGGGCTCCGCGACAACTCACCTGGAAACGGACGCCCGCCTTGTCGACCACGTATGACGCCTCCTGCACACCCCTCAGCACCGCCTGCGTCTGCTTTTTATCCCAGGGATCGTACGCCGCCCGCTCCGCCAGCGTCGTGAGGCGCGGCAGCACCACGTTCTGCACGATCGTCAAGAGGATCTCATCGTCGCCTCCCGCCGCTTCGCCTTCGGGCGCCGCGACGTCGTCGTCGTCGTGGTGCGACGGCTCGGCGTAGACGATGGCTTCCCGGTGCCATCGATAGTGCTCGAGCCCCGCCCCGCCCTTTGAAGATGAAGACGACGACGAGGGCAGCAGAGGATCGGAGAGCGCCATTTCGAGACGCGCGTAGAACTCCCAGATCGACGCGATGGCCAGGCCGCCCCAGGCCTGAGCGTACTCGAGCGGATACCGGCGTCGCCACTCGGAAAAGCGCGATACGACGCTGCGCGGATGCAGACTTGGCTCCGACGACGGCGACGACGCGGGCAGCCGAGCGGCGACGTCGAGATACTCCGGCGCCTTGACGTCCGAGAGCGCCGAAGAGAGGCGGTCCGAGAGGGCGCGCCATGCCACCTCGAATGCGGCCGCATCCGAGGCCGAAAGCTCGTCGGCGTCGACCTGGGCCATCAGCGCCGCATCGCTCTGTCGTTGCAACCGCACGGCCGAGTTAAAGTCGCCGTCTTCCATCGGCGATGGCTCCAACTGCAGATCGTCGGTTTGCTGCTGCTCGGTCTGCTGCTGCTGCTGTCGCTGCTGGTCGTCTGGTTCGCCCGTCTTGGGCAGTGGGGGTAGGACCGACGAGGAGGGCACGCCCCAGAAGAGGGCCAGCTCGTCCTCCATCCTCTTGGCTCTCGCCCTCTGCACCAGTCTCGTCCGCTCGACGAGCATGTCGACATAGTCTCGCTCCACGTCGTCGATCCGCGGCGCCTTGGCCTCCATGAACCCGGCGAGGCTCGTGACGAACTGCTCCAGCTCGCGGAACCAGCTCTCCTTTTCCTCGGCCTCGACGACTTCTTCCTTGTTCTCCTTCTCGCCCTGGAGGAGCGCCTCGAGCCCTTTGTCGGCATCCTCGACGACGGTGGCGTGCGCCTCGGCGCTTTCCTCGAGCTCCCTCATCTTCCTCGCCAGCCGCGCAGACGCCGACGTCATGGTTGGCAGCGGCGCCGTCAGCGGGATCTCGGCCGGGCGGTAGGGCGACTTTTCCCGGTGTTCTTGCTGCTTTTGCTTGATGCCGGGCATCTCGGTCCGGCGCAGCTGAGCACGCTCCCACTCCTCCTCGTCCTCGTCAACCTCGTGGTCGTCGGCGAGGCCGGCATAGTCGCTCCGGCCGTCGGTGAGCGCCTCCTGCATCTCGCGCCTCTGCTGCAGCTTGTACTCTTGCTCGGCCTTCTTGCCAATCGGGATCCTCTCGGTGGCGCCCGTGTACTCGGCGTACTCTTCCTCGCCATCGCCGTACTCGTCCTCCTCGCGCTGCAGCCGCGACTCTGGGTGGGGTCCCTGGTAGTCGTCGCCTGAGGCCTTCGATGAAGCCTCGCCAAACAGCCTCATGGCCCGTGACGACGAGGCCTTGCCCCCGCCACCGAGCGAGATGAAGTCGTCGCCCGCGCCGAAGCCGCCTCCATTCCTCTCGAGGAGCTCCTTGCGCATCCTGGCACGCTTCTCCTTGGCGGCACGGATGACGCTCTCGCTCGGGATGCCATCGTGTGCAAAGTCGGCGCTGAACTTGGTCCTGGCAAGCGATTGGTCGTCGTCGGCGTCATCGTAGTCGCGTGGTGCGGCATCGGCTCCGTCGTCGTCTATCTGCATGGCCATGGGATCTCGCACCTCGAAATTGGTAAAGGCGGCCGATCCGCCAGGTCTGGAGGACAGTGAAGGGGTAGAGGCCTTGAGCTCTGCGAGGTAGGATGAGGAGTAGGATGCCTGCGAAGTCGGTGTCGCGCCATTGGCGTCTGGAGGCTCGGCGGTAATCGAAGCTTGGTCGAGCGAGAGCGTGTTGGGTGCGACGAGGCGCTGCTTGACCCCTTCCCGCTCCTTCTTTCTCGCCTCTTTGCCCCTAGAGGCCAGCTGGGAGCGTCGGATCTCGAAGCCGGGCTCCGATCCTTGTTGGTCCTCTGCTTGCTCTTCGCCATCCAGCGCAGCGAAGCTGATCTTCTTGCGACCCGAAGTCGTCGCCACCGCCGCCGCAGCAGCCGTTCTTGACAAGGACGAGGAGGACGAGGTGGATGCCGTGGTGCTGCCGCCGCCTATCCGATTGGCAGCGCGATTGCGGGAGCGAAACACGACCGAGGAGGAGGCGAGATCCTCATCGTCTGCCGCTGGTGCATCGCGCCGAGCTGCGGGCGTCGACGTGCCCGGCTGAGGGCGGGAAGCGGTGTCGTCGTCGTTGTCCAAGTCTAGCGAGATGGCGCCTACGCGGCGGCGCGCCGGAGGGATGCTGGTTGCCGCGGCATTGCCGGATGTCGATGCCGGAACGCTGCTGGTGCTTGCCTCTGCGGATTTATCTGCCGCTGTGGCTGCGGTCGAGGAAGGGTCGCCGCTGAATGCGCTGCTCTTTGTGCGCAAGCCAGCGCCGCGCGGACGGGAGCGTTTGACAAACGAGGTCTCGAGGGGCTGTGTGTGCTGCTGCTGCTGTTGCTGTTGGTGGTCGTCGTCCGAGTCCAGGTTCATGTTGGTGATGATGTGAGAGGCGTGATGCTGCTGCTGCGATTGTGCCTGACAGGGACCGACGACGGCGGTCAGAGATGGCTGCGGGTTGGTTTGATGGTGGTGGACGAGAGGCAGGCAGAGGGCCTCGCAGTCGGGTCTGTCTGGAAGAAGCCGACCAACGAGCCAACGAGGGCCGAGGCCAGAAAACTCCACTTTGTGGCCGGTGCGGTGCTCGCGTAGGCGCCGCCCGGCGAGCGCAACGGCTCAGCTCTCGTCGTCTGTTCCACGATCCGTCGCTGAATGAAATTATAACCATCTCTCCCGCTCGACGACGCAGCGACGGCGATCAAACCAACGTCGATGCAATAATGTTACGCTGCTGTTACAATGGAAGACGATACCAGTACAATGGGTGACCCAACAGAATGGAATCAGGGAGGCCAAGGACGTGACGTGGCCTGGTCTGATCTGGCCTGGTCTGTCCCGTCCCCCCCCGCGCAGCCGATCACGACGACGGCTTCGATAGCTTCTTGAGCTTCAGCTTCAACCCACCTCCGCCACCCGACGACGACGGCGGGCTCTGCGCCGACCCGCTGGCCGCTGGCGAGCTAGCATCGCCGCCCGCCATCATCCCGCCATAGCCACCCGCTGCAGCTGTCGCCGCCCCAGCCCCACTCCCTCCTCCTCCGCCACCGCCGCCACCACCGCCGGGCGTCTGCACCATCGGCGAAGGCGGGATCGACGACAT